CAAAAATCAAAGATTTGGAAAAAGTTATAAAATTAATTTTTATTTTCAAACTGAATTTCACATTTTTTTAATATCGATTTTTTTTTAAACAAAAAAGCGTTAATTCCAATTATTTTATTTGTTTGTTTACGAAGTGTAATAAAATTGGTTAACCGCGTTGGTCATAATAAAAAAATTGATTTGTAAAAACTTTTTTTGTTTACTAAAAAACCAAAATAATGTCAAATATTTGGGACTCACCCTGTATGCCTAGAGAAATAACATGTAAAAAATCGATTCAATTTTTATTTTCACCGCCAACTGAATTTCACATTATTTTAAATAATTCGAGTTACGATTTGATTTTTTTTTTAAACAAAAGAACGTTAACTCTGTGTAATACGAGGTGTAATAAAAAATGTTAACCGCGTTGGTCATGATAAGAAAAAAATCAGATTTGAAAAAACTTTCACGAAACATCCTGTATATTTTTTTGTTTGTTAAAAGATCAAAAAAAAAGTCAAATATTTGGGACTCACCCTGTATGCCACAGTTTAATTTTTAAATGAGAAATAAGATGTAAAAAATCGATTCAATTTTTATCTTCACCGCCAAATGAATTTCACATTATTTTAAATAATTCGAGTTAGAATTTGTTTTTTTTTTAAACAAAAGAACGTTAATTCTGACTACTTTGTGAACGAGGTGTAAAAAAAAATTGTTAACCGCGTTGGTCATGATAAGAAAAAAATCAAATTTGTAAAAACTTTCACGAATCACCCTATATATTTTTTTGTTTGTTAAAAAATAAAAAAAAAATGTCAAATTACTGGGACTTACCCGRAGTTTAATTTTTAAACAAGAAATAAGATGTAAAGTTTCATTTTCACCGCCAAATGAATTTCACATTATTTTAAATAAATCAAGTTACAATTTGATTTTTTGAAACAAAAGAACGTTAACTGACTACTTTGTGAATAAGGTGTGATAAAAAATTTGTTAACAGCGTTGGTCACGATAAAAAAAAATTGTATACCACTATAATAAAAATTTGTACTATGCCTCAATCGACTCGGAAATGCCCTTTTAAGTAAAGAAAAAAACAATGTTAGCATCGTATACTTTCACTATTTTGAAAAATAGTGGATCCTGTCACTCTCAAAAAGGCTATTTGTAACAACACGGAGGAAATTGGTATTAATTATCACAGATAAGGTTAACAATCAGACTAGATATAACCCAGGTAAGGAATCTAAACTCGAGACAGGTTTGTAAAATCCGACTAAGGTCACTTAAACTTTGGTCATTTCTATAAGAATTGGGTAATGAATATCATCATCGTACTCGCAATGCTCAATCAACGTCAATCTCTTCTCCCACACAACTTGATTATAATTAAGAATTTTCCTACACTTGAAGCCTTTAATCTCCGATTGAGCAATAAAATCATCAAGCGTGCCCCCCCGTTTGGGGGCCATAACAAACACCACCCCTCTCTCGTCCAAACAGCTCCAGAGACACTCAATCAAATCACCCCTCGCCTCATCAAAGAAAAGACAATCAGCGCAGAGAATAACATCATACTGGAGCCCCTCAACCGGGCCCCACTTGAGCAATTTACAATCGACACCACACGCGAATTGGTTGTACCCCAACGCGGCTTGGACGTTCTCCACCGAGTGTTTGTTCCCATCGGTGACGGTGACTGTCTTCGGGGCGGCGTACTTGGCGGCGAACAGCCCCGCCAGACACGACATGCCGCCCCCCAGCTCGAGAATCGCCTTGTCTCGGAAGCGCCCCAAGTTGCAACACACGTAGTAACTCAGCGTCTCCTCCGAGGGCCAGATGCAGATGTTGCCCGTGTTGTTGAACCCCATGAGGTCTTCGGCGGAGAACGTGCGGATGCGGTGCCCGATCACGATCGAGTGCTCGCAGCCCCCGACCCGGATCGAGTAGCTGTACCACGAGCGCCTGGGGTCGAGGGGCCCCAACTGCTGCGTCTGCAAGAGCATGAAGGAAGAAATGCGACGGAGGGAGAACTCGTCGGTGGGGCTCGACGGCTCGCTCCCAACGGGGCTCTGAAACCACCACGGTCAAATCGGGACGAAAACACACGATTTTACCTTCAGAGCCTTGGCTAGGATCGCCCAGCGGCGGCGCGCCACCCGTTTCGCCCCATTTTTCACTACGACTAAGTTTTGGTCCATAGAATGAGCATTATTAAAGGGGCCTGCAAAGGCGGGGGTTAGTTCAAAGGGGACACAATTTCATTCCTTCATGCTTTCAAACGAGCTATTTGCGACTAAAACGGAACCAAACAAGGGGGCTATACTCACATTTTGGGCGCAACCACACCAATGCACACGAAGTCGGGCTTTTTACACAAAACCAATTTTGCTTTTAAAGATTTTTTCGACGATCCGCCATCTTGCGATTTAGCGGCCCAAAACACAGAAAATATAAACGACCATAAATTATCACTGTCTCAAATAATTTAAAAACAAATCCTACTTTTCGATAGTACTAATATAAGGCAATCAATTCGTGTACAACATTTATTTTAAATGTGAGTAATAAAACGGAGCCACAATTAGGCCTTGTCCACATACGATACCTTAACACAGATTAGACTACTCGATCAGTGAAGTTTGATTATACACAAAGCGGCCCAAAACACAAAAAATATAAACAACCAAAACTCATCATTAACATAATTAGAAAAAAAAAACAAATAACATTCATAATTAAACATGACACAAGACAATTAATTTGTTTCCAACAAACACGTTTGATTGTAAATAATTAACCGAAATTAGTCCTTGTGCACATTCAACATTCGTTGATTGAGGTTATGTCAGTGTTTTCAATGGGTGATTCGGTGAGTATTTTTTGAAAAAACTCGCGAAAAACGTGATATTTGTTAGCAGACGCGGAAACGGAAGCTCGTGAGTGCGAAAACCTCGGCAAAAAAGCCGAAAACCGTGTCCCTGGAGCCCCAATGGAGCGACTACGAACTGCTCGCAGAACAGCTCGATTTGGGGCTAGAGGTGGCCAAAAACATCGTAAAATTGTTCGAGGAGGGCAACACCGTTCCATTTATCGCCAGATATCGACGCGACGTGACCAACAACCTAGAAGCCGAGCAATTGCGGGCTGTTAAAGACACTTGTGACGAGATAACCGCCCTTAGGGGCAAAATTGGGACAGTTTTGAGACAGTTGGACAAGTCGGAAGTGTTAACCGAGGAGTTGAGACGCTCTATTGTCAATTCGAGGTCAATTGAGGAGCTGGAATACATCGTAAGTGTGTTTTTTGGGGGGCTTATATGACTCGTTTTTTCAGTATGCACCGTACAAGAGCGGCAGTAAGGGGACCTTGGCCGAGAGGGCGAAGCAGTTGGGGCTAGAGGAGCCCGCTTTGGCACTTTTAAACAACACAAAACGAGTCAAATTTGAGGATTTTGTCAACGAGGGGGTCGATTTCGAGGGTGTTAGAAACGGAATTATTCACATTATTGCATCTGTTATTTCAACCGACACTGAAATTTTAGCATCACTCAGAGAATTGTAACAAAAAATTATTACATCACTGAAAAAACCCTATATTTTATTTTCGTAGGCGAAAAAAAACTAATATCATTATTAAAACGAAGAAAGCCCCTAAAGCACAACCCGAAACCAGCGACAAGTTCGATAATTACTTTGATTTTGAAATTCCGGTGAAAAAAATCAAACCACACCAAGTTTTGGCCATTAATAGGGGCGAAAATTTGAAAATTCTCACAGTTAAAGTGGTCCTTCCTGAGTGGCTTTTCACCCAATTTCGGAAAAAGTGTGACAAGTGGGCGAATTTAGGGGGCGATAATGTGAGACAAGACGTGTTAAAACGCGCAATTGAAGACTCCTACAATCGATTAGGTACCAAAAATCACAAAATTAATTTTATTTATTTATTTTTTCAGTTGAGCCTTTGATAAAACGCGAAATTCGGGCCGAACTGAAACAAAATGCCGAACGAGCGTCGTGTCAAGTTTTCAGTACGAATTTGAAGGATTTGTTACTTGCGCCCCCTTGGAAAGGTCAAAGTATTTTGGGGCTTGACCCCGGTTTTGCCAACGGTTGTAAATTGGCCCTAATTTCGCCTCTGGGGACCCTAGTCGATAGCAACGTTATTTATCCTCATAAAACAAAACGGGAGAAAGATGTAACAACGATAAAAAGAATGTTAATTGAACACAAGTAGGTTTTTTTGTGTTTTTTGTTAATTTTTGGTTGATTTTTGCCCCCAGATGTGAGTTAATCGCCTTGGGTAATGGCACTGCGTGTCGTCAGACTGAAGAGTGGCTCTCGAATTTGATCAAAAGTCAAGTTTTTAGCCCCCTTGATGTGAAATATACAGTTGTTAGGGAGGAAGGGGCTTCGATTTACTCGTGCAGTCCTGAGGCGAAGAAAGAGTTCCCGACACTTGACCCCAATATTATAAGCGCTGGTACCCCCATAACCCCATTTATGAATTAAAATTTTTAATAATTTTTGCTCAGTTTCTCTCGCACGGAGGGTTCAAGACCCCCTTGCCGAATTGGTTAAAATCGAGCCCCAACATCTAGGTGTGGGTATGTACCAACACGATATCAAGAAAAAACAGTTGGGCGAAGCCCTAAATGACGTCGTTTCGGAATGTGTCAGTTTTGTTGGTGTTGATTTGAATACGGCGTCGCGGTGCCTTTTGAGGTATGGTTTAGGGTTTTTCGTTATAGTTTGACTGGGGTGTTTTTTTCTAGACATGTGGCAGGCCTGTCTGAGAAAAAAGCCCAACAAATAATTGACTATCGGACACAAAACGGGCCATTTATTTGCCGGAAACAATTATTGGAGGTGTCAGGAATTGGGCAGAAGATTTTTACACAGTGTGCTGGATTTGTGCGTGTGGGGCCCCCATGTGGGGACAGAGTGAACGATTTTTACAAAAATGTTAAATCTTGTAAATTAGATTGCACAAATATTCATCCGGAATCGTACGAAATTGCCACAAAGCTATTGAAAATGTTTAATTTTAAATTGTCGGATGTTGGCACCACTGATTTTATTAATAGGGTTAAAGGGGAAGTCCCAAAGCTAGATTTAAGCGAATTGAGTCAGAAATTTCATTCCAACGAACAAACACTTCGTTTGATTTTAGATGCGTTTTGTCAACCATTGAATTATGATTTTAGGATTGATTGTGATAAAAAACCAGTCTTCAAGAAAGGTTTAATCGGGATTAATGATCTTCAAAGTGGGATTGTTTTGACCGGTGTTGTGACTAATGTCACACATTTCGGGAGTTTTGTCGACATAGGAGTGGGAATTAACGGTTTAATCCATGTTAGTAAGTCCACCGGTTTGGACTTACATTTGGGGAATAAAGTTGAAGTTAAAGTTATCAGTATTGACGTTGATAAGAAGCGAATCGGGCTGCAAGCGCTCAAAATTCTCGATTAATTTGAATTTTAGCGCCGGGGTAGGGTTGCCAAAGTGGCGATCAAAAACCCTAGAATAACCTAACTTTCTAAACTAAACAAAAAATAGATTATTTTTTGGAATTATCAGTGTTTTTGTTAATTACCTAAATGAATCGTCTGCGATTCTAAATTTGTTGGTAAGTGAAACAAAATTCAATTGTGATAAACGTAAAAATTTATCATCTCACTATGTAAAATGGATCGCTTGTCGCTCGAGTTACTTGAGACTATTTTGAGTTGTCCGGTCCTGAGTGACAGGGACGTACTTAATTTTTCCTCAACGTGTCATTACTTCCGTGAAATTGTCCAAACTAGTCGAGTGATATGGAAACAGAGATTTTACAACAAGTAAGTGGCTTTTTTGTATTTTTTGTGTTCATTTATGTGTAATTAGATGGCCCAATCTGCCCAAGGATTTGGGGTGTCCCGACTGGTATTTCGACGAGTTGAAATATTTTCACTCGTTGAAAACCAGAGTATTAGATGAGTTAAAATTGATGCATGAGAGTTTTTTCAAAGATTTAAATATGTTATATTCAAATGGGATGAAATGGAAAGTGTTAAGTTATGAAAAAGAACGAAGCAATTGTTATATAAGAACACTTCTCCTCGATGTTATTAATACGAAAGAGGCAATAAACAGCATCGTAGCAGTGCCTTTCAAGTGAGTACTAAAAATATTAAATCAAGTCCCAAACTTTTGGTTAGTACTCCAGGAAATTTAACTTTGCAATTTTCCGCACGGTTCATTTTGCGTCTCTTGAATGAACACTATCTAAAAAACACTTGGGATAAATTTAAACGTCTTCCATCCCAAGAGCAAACTTTGGAAAAAATTGCTATTTTTTTTGCCCAATGGTTCCATCTTGACATTCAAGACGTCGATAACCATGTCGCAAAGCGACTTAACGATATTGCAAATTTGGTAAAAGTGAGATTAAGGTCTACCAACCCGAAACATCCAATTTTCACTAGTGAAGTGTGTGAATGGAGAAAAAAGTTGGAAAAGCACCAATGGGGGCCTGAAAATTGCCACGAAGTCATTTCCACAATCCGTGAAGTCCTTTACTCGCATTTGGGACTTCAAGGAAACTATAGTTGGCACCCCAGTCCCGAATTCTCTTTCATTAACAAAGTAATCTGTGACTGAAATTAAGTTGGCAGCATTGCCGACTGTAATTTTTTCAGGTTTTAGAGCGTCGCATAGGCCTTCCGATTGTCTTGGCGGTGATTTACGAAAGTGTGGCACGGCGTTTAGGGGTGGTCGTGGAACCCATTAATTACCCTAATCATTTTTTGCTCAAATTTCAATTAAATCAAACTTTTTACATTGACACTTGCAATGGGTGTTTTATCGATGGAGTGACTCCCTGTTTTCATCAGATTCCTGTTTTCGGGGAAACCCAGTACAGTGCTGCCACCACCGACGAAATTGTTCGACGAATGGCGAACAATTTGAAATTTGCTATTGGGCATGGAGATGTCACAGAAAGAATAATTCATTTGCGATTGCTTAATCGACTTGTGACTTTCGTGGGATTCCCCTTGGATGGTGATATGGTAACAGAACTATTACCATATTACACAGTGCCTGAAAATCATAACAGAAAACGAACAACTTATTTAAAGTATGCTGTGGGTATGATAATGATTGATGAGAATAGTGCAACTAAATGTGTTATTTGTGATTGGAAAGGACCAACGCATAGAAATAATAAGCAACCAAAATATCTGGTTGTTTTCGAAAATGGAGTAACTAAATTTGTTTTACAAGGTGAAGAAAATTTTTAAAAATAATAATAATAAATAAAAAAATTTTAGATGGAATTACTCCGACCACCGATCCGGGAAATTTACAATCAGTAGAACAAGTCGGTCTGTGTTTTTCACACTTTTTCAAAAACCATTTTGTTCCAAATGAGCAAATGGAGAACTTATTTCCAAGTGATGCGCAAGTGAGGCACAGGTTCTACCACGAGATGCAATTGCGAAATTACAGGCCGTAATATTATAGAACAATATAAATATAAGTTTTTTCAAAAATTACTATTTTTTTTAAATACAGAAACCTGTAATTTCGATCTGGCCAGACGCCATCTATTGGCTTGTGGCGGGTGCAAAGTTAACTCGCATCCCGGTTTTGTATAAAAAGGAGACTCTCTGTCTCTATCAAATTTACCTAAAATTCTACAAGGCTATTCCAAAAAGAACACAGTTTTAATTTTTTTAATGTGACAGCAGTGATGTTTCAAATTTTGAAATCACTTCACACCGGTAAATTAGATTTCTTTGTTACCATTTCAAAAATTTAATGAAAACAAAATTAATTACACTTTATTTGAAACGTTAGTGTTAGTGGTCGTCAAAATCACGTAATTTTGCATAAATTACAACGATTTAATTCCTTTAAATCGAAGTCGGTTTTCGTCGACAGAAATCTGTAATTTTCGATCTTTCGCACAACTCATTCCAAACCAATCAATTCTGCCACTTAATCACACTTAAATTGAAACATCCTTGTGCTAGTGGTCGTAAAAGCCGTGAAAATTTCGTGTATTTGCCTCAAAACGCTTTGTTTTCTCCAAATCGGGGCCGATTTCGCTCTTGTGCACATTCGACCGCGGCCCGTTGGCGTTTATTTGCGATTGGGTTATGGTTGAATTTTTTGACCCATTTCGATTTTCAACGTTTTATTAGTGATGTGTGCCTCAAAATGGGCGAAAACCAGCAAAGCCGTTTCGAGAAATCGCTAGGTTTGTTGACTACAAAGTTCGTAAACTTGTTACAAAAGTCAACTGGTGGCGTTTTGGACCTAAAAGTGGTAAGTTTGAATTTGTTAAATTGAGTTTTTTTTTCTGATTTCTTATCACCAGGCGGCTGATTTGCTGGCAGTGAGGCAAAAACGGCGCATTTACGACATCACGAACGTCCTCGAAGGCATCGGCTTGATAGAAAAGAAGAGCAAAAATAGCATTCAATGGAAGTAGGTCTTTGTCAAATTTGTGCTAATTTTCGCTAATTATTTGCCATTTTGAGGCCCTACACGTACAAGGACGCGCTCCCGGGGTGCAACACGCAGGAATTCGCCCTCAAAGTCACCAATTTGAAGAAAGAACTCGCGAAACTCGACGAGTTTGAGCAAGAATTGGACAAACACAAGCAGTGGATTGAGCAAAGCATCAAAAACACCACTGAAGACATCCAAACGAAGCGCTACTTGTACGTGAACAACGAGGATTTGTCCAAAGTCTTCGTGGGGGACGCTGAGACGGTCATTGTGTTGAATGCCCCCACGGATGTCACCACTGTGGGGTACCAGAAAAACGCCAACAATTCCAATTTCCTCAAAGTCCAGTCGAGGGGGAGTCCCATTATCGCCAACATTTTGACTCTGGCCCCCGAGCCCGAGATTCGGATTCAAAGGAAGCGCCCCAAGGCCTGTGTTAACGCAGAAACTGAGGAGCCTCAGCCCAAGAAAAGCCACTATGATGAGGACATGCATGGGGATTTGATAGCAGCGGAGATTCTTTTTAGGAAAATTTCGAGTGATATTGGGAAAGAGAGCACTGATTGTGACGATTTACTATCAGAGAAAGGTGATTCACATAATATTTATGCCCCCAAAACTGGTGTTTTTCTTTTGCAGGGTTGTACCCACTGATTGACTTGAGCCCCTTGGGTTATAACCAGGATTACGCTTTTGGGCTGCTGGAGGAGGAGGGGATTAGTGACCTGTTCGATGTCGCTTCTATTCCTGTACAGTAGCATAAATTCTTTATAATTTGCGATTAATCTACATTTAATAAATTCCTTTTTTCTATTTGGCGTCTGATACTAACACCAATTTGGGTGCTGAAATAGATTAGTACAACTTACTTTCTAGAGGTTGGTAATGGTAATTTTCAGCGGCGTTTTAAGCGATTTTTCTAATTTCAGGTTGTGTGTAGAAAATATTTGCAGTTAATTCAACAAAATTTTGAAAAATACTCGAGACTTGACACTTGTAAAATCGAATTTTTCAAACTGACATTTCTCACCCACCACCACCTTATTAGGGCAAAAGTTCCTAAATTTGAAAGGACTTTTATGTTAGAAAAGTACGTAAAACGTGCAAAATAGAAAAAAAAACATAAAACTTGTTTACGAAATGCGTTCTCTAATATCCTATTTCTATCAACAAGTTTAATTCCTTCAAAAAGTGACTAAATTGTTAAAGTTTAAAAGATGTCACGTAGGCAACCAACAATACAGTCATGCTGGTGATCTAAGCTACACAGTTAATTATAGAAAAATAATTTTTTAGTTTGATTTCACAGGAAATATTTGATGTATTGAATATTATTTTTAGTCCGGAGTTAATCTGAAGCTAACTTAATAATTTGTATAATGTGTCGCCAAGCTAAACACATGTAACTTCCCTAGCAAATGACAGTTTTTGGCATTGTAATGCAAATAAATATTAATATCGTGATTTAATTATTATTAGTGTAAAGTAACAACAACTCCAGAAATAAGGATTATTGAACCAACATTGGGCATGCAATACATCTATCGTTTAAAAAAAAGCACATATATTTTCTATTTAATATTTTTTTATGGTACATTTTTATTATTTATTGCAACTTCTTTTGGAACATTAGTAAAATAACAATAAAAAAATTATTAATCTGTAAACCATTAAGTTTCACACGCTTAAAACTGTTCAAAATACCGAGTTATACGTTGTCAAGTATTATAACACTGAATGAGAATTTGAAAAATAGAAAATATCACTTTATTTTATAATGAAGTTTGCATTATTTTTATGTAACTTTATTCATTTTTAACGTCTACCTACCTACTATTTTAGGCCACATATGACGATTTTTAATAATAAGTGTCTAACTATTGTTAATTTACAATTCTGTAATAAAAATCAAATTTTTAAAACTTTATAATTTTTTATGTATTATGTAAACAGTTATGTTGCGAGACATACGTTGTCAATAATTATAATATTTAATGTGAATTTAAAAATAGGAAATAGCACTCTATTTAATTTTTTTTATGTAACTATTCACTTTTAACGTCTACCTACCTAATTTTGGGGTTAATATTTTAAAGAAATAAGGATTATTGTACCAGCATTTCCTATTAAGTTTAGATTAATAATTTTGTTTTGTTTTCTATTCGTCAATTTTTAATTAATCTTGATTAACATAGGCAACCAACAATACGGCCTTTAAATAGTTATTTGTCGTGTAAATAATTGTTAGGCAACTTAAATTTGGAATGCTTTTTTGAATAAAATTTTTGTATTAAAATAAAAAAATCGACAACATAGGCAACCAACAATACACCCCCTCCTGTTTTTCAATCAACCACGCCTCCTTTTCTCATTTTTATTCAATAAATCATAGGCTACAATGGTAAAGCAACATGTAAAAAGTACAAACGACTCACTGGGAACATACTAAACCTCAAAATATCACATCTACACCCCCAAATCCATATCGAAAATATCACTATGTATATAATCACTCTTTTCCTCCTCTTTCTCGCTCGCCTCACTCTCGCTATGCCTCCTCTCCTGCGCCTTCTTCTTATTCCTCGCTTTCCTCTGGTTCTTCTTCTTCTGTCCCAAAATACTCGAATTCGATCTATACAACTGCCTCATTATCACATCATTGAACCTCACAGTCTTCTTCAGACTGGTCGACATCTCCCCCTCATCTACCGACGAGGCCACAAACTCGTCCAGACTCGACTCCGAGACGCTCCTATTCGGCAACCTCTTGAGAATGCCTCGGCTCTCGCCTCGCCCCTTACTCGGGCTGTAACTGCAACTCAGCTCGTCGCCGCTCGACTCCGGGGGCTCCGGTTCCTCCAAAATGGGGCTCTGCAAGACGTCGTTCAAGACACGGGGCTCCTCGACGTACTTCTTGCACAAGTCGAGGCCATTTAGGCCGTAATAATAGTACTCGAGGTTGTCACAATTCACCGGGATTTGGACTACTACATTGTTGTCCCAAACCTCCACTGAGAGCTTTTCCTGGTCGATTTCCGCGTTGTTAATTTGGACGAAAAACGAGTAATTCGAGTGGAAAAAACTGGGGCTCATTGTGGAAAACCTCAAATGGACTGAGTCGCTTTCTATGTGTTTTTCCAGGGCGTTTTGGGGCACATTTTTGACGTTTAGGGTGAAAACGAGGGTTTTATCAAAGAGGTGGGAGGTGAAATCGGGGATTTCCTCGTAATTAGTCCGAAAATCACTAAAACTGGGCTTTTGCTCGTCTTCGGAATGGGGGCTGGGGTCGCTCTCGACGCCGCTGTCGTCGCGTGGGGGCTCACAAAGGGGGCGCTTGACCGGTAACGCGACTATTAGTTTTTTTAAATCCTTGTCGAATTTCGCTGAACCACTATCTTGGTTCACCCTGTAGGGGAGTGTCAAGTTGAGTTTGTACTTCGAAGGCTTCTCACTCGTTAATTGTACTGTTTTTTCCGTCACGTCGAGGGTGATATCGGAGGAGGCTTTGAGCAAAGGCAAGTTGATTTCAACGATGAGTTCCCGAGGGATTGTCAAATTCAATTTAGCGAATTTGTCCTCAACGCAATCTTGGATGTCGACATGACTCCGGTGTTTTATCACATATTTAGGGGTTGTGTAACTCGAGTCATCCTCTACACACTTTTTATTTCGTTTCGTAGTTTTTTTCGGTTTTTGTTCGTCGATTTTGGCGTAAAATTGGCGCTCAAACTCGTCCATTTCCTTGGGGACAAAATCGGGGATTGGTCTCCGGATGATGGAGCTTTGAGGGGCCCCCTTGTACCCCAATTTGGGGAATTTCAGATTTTTCTTGTCTAAAACAACATCGAAATTTGTTTCAATAGCATCACAGGCTGTTTTATTGACAATTTCCTGGAAGGGTTGGTTTTTGTGGGCCATGTGGACGACATCGGGGTGGAACACCACGTCGTAGACCTCGCAGCGGGCCCCCTTGTTGTCGAGGTCGTCGCGTGGGGGCGTCAGGGAGTGCGGGAGGCGCCATTGGAGCCCTCGTGCGCCGTCCTTGTCCATGGGGGCCGAGGTGGGTTTGTCGATCGCGTCGCTGGTGCACACGTTGATGAAGCACTTGCGGCCCCCATCGCTTGTCTTTATGACGTATCCGGGATGGGGGTTGATGAAGGTGACTGCGACCCCGCGCTCGCGCTCCACTTGGGCGATTTCCGCCTCGTAGAGTTTCCGGTTTTCGGGGTTTTGCACCTCGTGGACGTAGTCGGCGAGGAGTTGGCGGAATTCGGGCTTTTTGAGGGCGGCCCCCAGACGCTCCACTTCGTCGCGGGACAAGTCCAGTTCTTTGAGTTTCTCGAATGTCCCCATTTTGAGGGTTTTTTTGAGGAAATTGCGCGCACTCAAACCAAAATAAACAAACTGCGTCTGGAATATTCCGAGTGTTCACGTGGACGAATCAGCCGGCTGGGTGACAGATCGATAGTGGCGGGAAGTTTGAAATTTGACAGGTGGGGGTGGGAAATGGGGCGATGTTTTGAGGGGCTTGACCGAGTTAGAGTTTGGCTGGGGTACGCGGAAATGGGGCTTTTGCCAAAACTTGCATGATGTAATGAGGAGTAAAAATAGGATTGTTGTGGCGACGTTACGTTTTATAAGTTTTTTTATCTTTTATCTCTTGTGTCATTAGTGTAATTATTATTTATCTGCTATTATGTGTGTTGTAAAAATTTAGATAAATAAATGAACAAGGATTTAGTTCAAAATATGGTATTTTTTATTTATTTATTTACTATTTTTTCAATTACTCTCGAAAAATTGCACATACAGGGTGGGTTAAGTGATATCGTCACGCCAAAAATAATTATTAATGATCCTATCAATACGAAAAACATCATTCAGTTTGAATTTAAATTTTCGATTATTTGGATTTTTTAAAATTTGGGTCAGTTTATTGCACCGCAAATAACTCCGGAACTATTACGAATAATAATTGTGTTCATTGTCGCTGGAAAGCATATTAAATTAATTCTGCGATAAATAGTTATTGAGAAAATCGCTGGTAAATAAAAAAAATATATTAATTCGACAATAACTTCTAAACTATGAAGAATTTTGTTGTTTTCTCGACGTCAATCGACTCCGCGGAACATTTTATATAGATATAGTTGAAAACATAAAGCGCTTTCAATATACTTTAGTCGGATTTACCAAAATAAAACCAAGGGAAGATTAAAAAAAAAGGTCATTTGTATTTGTCCATTTTCAGAGTCAAAGCACGATTTTTAAGTCAAAAACGCTATTTATCTAAGAAATTTCTACAAAAAAAAAAACAATAACAAAATTTGGTGTAAAATGATGTTATTTTTTTGTGCTGTTTATCCATTTTTCAGCACAAACAACGAACGCAATTATTTTTCAAAATTTTGTCAAAAATATACCAAAAAACCGTTAAATTAGATCGAAAATTGTCCTATTTAAAAATAATCCGAAAATATGCCAAACTAGATGAAAATGGTGTTATTTTTGTCGTTTTCATGTGTTTAGGGACTTTTGCGAGCTAAGACTCAGTTTTTTCACCCAATTTGGCCAAATCTAAAGAAAAAGTCCCTAAGTTTGACCAAAAATAACATATTCCTTGTCTTTTTCGAGTCTGTGTGCACGTTTTTTTGCCAAGGATAATCCGAAAAACTGGAAAAATTTGTGAATTTGTTATCTTCGAGAAACCATTTCGTATTTTTTCAGAATTTTTGAAATCATAACGTTTTAAAATACGTTGAAAAAAGAAAAATTTCGAGAAAAATTACAAGTTTTTTTTAACAAAAAAACAGTTATTTTTGGAATTTTTTAAAGAGTTTTTAAAAAATACCGCCATTTTTTTCTACGACTAATCCTTCCGCTACTATTTTATCGGCAATAAACGATTCCTAATATTGCTTTGTTTTTTAATACGTTTTTAGTACATTCAAAGGTCAAAAAGTAGATGTTTTGCATTTTCAAAATCTACTTTCTAGCAAAATCCCCCAAAAAATGGACAAAATCTTCTAAAATGTTTACTTTTTTGAAAAATGACATCACTTAATTGACTAAATTTTTTTTTAATTTTCGTGTTTCTACAACGTTTTATGCACTTTTAGACCCCATGAAGTGCATTTTGATCAATTTTTAAATTTTTGACAAAATTATTTACCGTTGGAAAGCACTTTTAATTTCCCATCTTATAAAAAAAAATCGTTGTCCTACGGAAACTAGTTATAACATCTAAACTATCAAGAATTTTGCGGTTTTCTCGACGTCAATCGACTCCCCGGGAAATTTTACATAGGTATAGTACAAAACATAAACCGCTCTGAATATACTTTAGGCGAAAAAAAAAACCATCGATTTTTGTTTGTATTTTTTTTATTAAAAAAAACGTGCGCAGACACTCAATAAAGACAAAAAAACGTTATTTTTGACCTAAATTAGTGATTTTTTTTGGTCAGATTTAGGAAAATCCCGTAAAAAAGTGGGTCTTTAGATCACAAAAGTTCTTAAACGCTTGAAAAACAACGATTTTAAAGCATATTTTTGATGAAATTTAGCGAAATAATTGTGCTCCTGCCTAAAAAACGTGCAAAATTGGTGAAAAAAATTTAAATTGCACCATTTTAGAACTAATTCGGTGATTTTTCGCTTTTCTTTTAGAGAAAAAAAATGCTCAAACTTTCAGTTTTTGTCCCGGTTTAGCAAAATCTACGGAGACCTCCGTAGCAAAATTTAAGTTTTTAGTTGAAAAAAGTGCTTGAAAGCTCGAAAAAAGCTGAATTTTGACAAAATCTTACTAAAAACAGAGTTTTAGCTCAAATACATGATTAAATGCTTGAAGAAGATAAAAACAATAGAATTTTCGACCCAATATGACGATTTTTCGGCACGTTTTTGCAAAATAATTGCGTTT